CAGTCTCCTGGTCATTCACTCTGTGTGAAGCAGGGCCTTGTGTTGTCAAGTCCCAAATGCCACTGTTTGGTTTTGTCTGGATTTGGTTGTACACCAAACCTTGCCATTATGAACCATAATGTCATGGTCCACCACAGTCACCGCGCCTGAAGCACCTACACAAAGCCTGATTTTCAAGCGGCTCAAAAAATGCTTCTGCCCACGTGAATTTAATTTAGTTGCTCTTACAAATCTAATCTCCAAAGCCCTCTAACTGGATTTCGGTGGGCCCCTCAGGCTCCAGAATGACTTGGTCTGGCCAGCTGCACACCGTGGGCCAGGAGGGACTGTATTTCCCCACCACTTTACATGATCTAATGAACTCCCCCACGCCTGGCTGAATCAAATCTTCTCAGCAAAGGACCAGGCTCCTGTGTGACTGACTTCCCGGCTCTCTCCTTAAGCCATCCTGAGGCTTCTCTGCACAGCTCCCCTGTCCCTTCAGGGCAGCCCTGCTGCAGGCAGGCTGCATCCCACACCTAGACCCTGGAATTCAGCCGTGACCCTTGAAGCAGCAGGTTTGTGGCCCCACAGCAAAGCCGCTGGCACCAAGCAAACCAGCGGCCAGAGTTGGTGTGAAGGTGGTAGAGGGGTGGGGCTCACGGCCGCAGTTTCGGGATGGGCCCTTGTGTGGGAAGCAGCAGTTTAGCAGCCTGAAATCAACTTTTTCTCCTCAAGCTGCTTTTCCCCCCAGCCAGAGGGGCAGGAGCGGTCTCTGGAGGGGGCTGCCAGCACGGGCGGGAGGCAAGCGGGGGCTGTCGGGCAGTTTCCACACCGAGAGGCAGCGAGACCACCCCGGGGGAGCTCCACACCCCCCGGAGGCAGCACGGCAACGGGGCGTGGAGCGGCACCCCGCGCCGGGACTTCGGTTCGAGCCGGCTGCTTTGGGGTGGCCCGTGTCCGGCCCCTGCCCCGTTACCTCCCCGCTGCCGGCGGCGCAGCCAAGGCCCTGACCCCCGGGAGGGACAGCCCGCGGCCGAGTCCCGGGGACAGACCCCCGCCGCCCAGGGGAGCGGACCCCGCTCGGGCCACCCGCTGGCCGGCGCCTCCCGAGCGCCGGGCTCGCTCCGCGGCCGGGCCGCCCCGAGGCCGCCTGCCCCACCGCCACCCCGGCTCCAGGCATCGGCGTCCGCCTGGCGCCGCCGCTCACCTTCGCGGGCCTTGAGGAGGACGGTGTTGGCGACGATGTTCTCCAGCTCCATGGGCCCGGGCGGCGCCGCCGCCACCTCCCGCCCGGCTCCGCGCCGCTCCCCGTCGCTCGGTCCCCGACCCGCCGCCGCCGCCTCCCCCCGCCGCCGCCGCCGCCGCCGCCGCGCTGCACCCCGCCCACCAGCACCTAGCCCGCCAATGCCTGCCCACGCTCCTCCCGCGCCGCGCTCCTATTGGCCCAACCCCCTCAGGAAGCCTCGCCCCCTCCGCCTTGCCGCTGCCTTCCTATTGGGCCCTCGGCGGGCGGAGGTGTGGGGAGGGCGGGGCGGGGAGGGGGAAGCGCGCGTCATTCGGCGGCCATTGGCGAAGCCCTGCCGGGAAGAGAAGACGGATGCTGATTGGAGGAAGAGGTGTCACTCAGAGAGAAAAGCCGCCGCTCCGGGAACGGATTGGGCGAATATCAACGGCGCCCACCACAGGGAGAGACCCTCCTTCTGCGGCATCTGATTGGGTGGGGAGTTGCCACTCTGCTGCAGCGTGGGTCGTGATAGGGGCGTTCCGTAGGGGGTGGGGCCGAGCGGCTCTTTATAAGGGAGCGCCTGGGCGGGGGTTGTCTAGTCTGGGTCCTGTCCGGGGCTGTGGGTCGGCGGAACCGCTACTGGGGTGTTCTGCGCGCCAGTTAACAGTAGTTACGTGTTTAGGGGAGCCTTCTCCATCTTTTTCAGCCTGGCCCTAAATTCGCGATGGCATCAATAAAGTCTCCCAAGCACCCGTGTGCCTGGTGTTGGTCAATCCCTGCATTGTGGGGCGGGTGACGCAAGCTCTGCTGCTGCGCCTGGTCTCCCGGCTGCGGTGGAGGGTTGTGGTTTCCTCATCCCCTGATGCCCTTGTCAGTGACGGGGTGCAGCACAGCCAGGCTCATCTTGCTGGGGCTGACCCCAGCTTCTTGGTTCTTAGGTGTAAAATCGCTCGTTAACCCTCTTGCCCGTTAGCAAGCTGTGCCTGCCCTGCTTTTGGGTGCAGACATCACCTCTGCCTTCCATCAGCTGCCATCACTGGCTCCAGACCGTGGGTGATGCCTCCTTACTGCTTTGCGTGCAGCAGCTGGTGGCAGCGGGGCTGTCCCCGGTGCGGGGCTGGTGGTGGCCAGGGCAGGGGGGAACATGTGGTGGTGGGCAGATCCCTCCACCAGCTTTTGTTAATGGTGACCTGCTGGTGGGGACCAGCCTGGGCCCCCAAGCACAGCTCGGCTGCGCCATGCTAGCGAGCGGGAGTGAAGGGGTTCATGTCCTCAGGCTGTAGCAAGGCTGATAATAACACAAATTATTCTAAGCAATCGGTACTGGCTGTGGTTTGCCATGTCCTTCAGCATCTGCTGGAGATCAGGCGTCCCATCTTCTGATTACAAACCCACAGTGATAACAGGGAGGAGGATGCTTTGCTCTGCCATACCTTGGAGGTGATCTCCTGTGTCACTGTGCTATGAGGGATGAGCTCACATTGTGAGCTTTCTTCTTTTAGAGCTGCTTTCCTTTTAAAGGTGGCACATATTTATTTTCAGCTTCAAATGCAATGAGTTTGTTTCCATGCATTTGCACACTTAACCCTTATGTTGCTACTTCTGGTTTCCTCCCGGCTGGCGTTTTGCAGCACTGTTCCTACCACCAGCAAGAGTCATCGACCACCGTGTGCTGCTGGAGCAGCAAGAGTGTCCAGAGGGGTCCTGGTGTCCCCAACAGAGCTGAAGGCAGCCCAGGTGGTGGAACCAAGACTCTGCTTTTTTAGCTCTGCGAAGGAGATGCGGCTGGAGAGGGCTCTAAACCCAAGCCTATCAGGGGAGTAATTAAAAATAATCTTGAAAAATTGGAGAAACAGCCTGAAAATGCAAGATGCAGTTCCAGGTGGATGAGCGCAGGTGCTGCAGTTGGGCAGGAGTAATCAGCACTTTGAGGGGAGATGCTTTCCTGGCAGTACTGGGGCCACGGCAGCTTGTGAGCGGGGCAGGAATAAGGGTCACGCTGTGGCGGATTAAGTGGACTTTGTACAGACTAGGAATGGAAACGGCTGCTTAGGAGAGACAGAGCAACCTGCTCAACCCGCCAGCTGCAGGCAGGACTATATGCCAGATGGTGATGCAGCAGGGGATGCTTGGTGGGGGAGCTCCCCCCAGAGCACCCCAGCACCCTGGTAGTGCCTGGGGAGAAGGGGGGGACCAGGTGCTCCCAGACCCCATCCAGCCCTTGGGATTTGATGTTTTGGACATCAGCCTGAAGTTCCCTTTGTTGGCTCAGACGTTGCCCTGATGCCAGCACAGGCTGGATGTGCCAGCGACTCCTTTCCCAAGCAGGGGGGGTCCCTGCGTGCCCCCATTCCAGCTGGTCCCTGGGCCCTCCTGCCCTGCAGCATCCCAGAGCCGCACACTCGTGCCCAGGAGGAGGGACGGTGCCTGGTTCCCTTGTCAGCCCCCGCGATGCTGGGCAAGGGTGAAGGCAGGGCCCACAAACCAGGGCACCACCGGGACCCGGGGTGCTGCCTACGGGGCTCACGCCCCTCGAGGAGAACTCCTCTCCCCAGCTGAGCTGGTCTGGCCGAGTCTCCACCAGGCGCCTTCATCTCCCTGGGTATTTTTAGAAGCAAAGTGCTGTATAATTGAGAAAAGGCGAAAGGCGGCCGCGGGAGGGGAAGCCAGGCGGCAGCGATAGGGCAGCTCCTTCCGCAGATGGTGCCAGCGCGGCTTCAGCCGCTGGGGCTGGCTGTCCCTGGGGGGGGTCAGCGCCCGGTCCCTCTCCCAGCACGACTCCACTGGGAGCCTCCACTGATCCCAAAGCTCATGCCGCAAGCCTCTGTGCCTGGGGCCAGCGGGCACACAGGGGGTGGCCTGGGGATCCTTGCTGCTGTGAGTATCCCCATCCCTTCCAGCCCCCTGGAACCCGCAGCTGAGCTGCACCCACCCTGGCAGGGGCTGGTGGGGGCCAGCGTTCCTCGGGCTCCAGCTCCCAGGCGCCGGCGGCTGTTTTTAGCCAAGTGAAAGTCCGATGTTTTGAGATTTTCTATTTTGGGCAGCAAAGCTGGAGAAGTGGAGCAGCTCCTGACCCCCGGGGTGCCTGTGCAAAGCAGGGCAGGGAGCCGGGCAGGGCAGCTGCTGCCCCCGGGGGGATGTGGTTGCCCCTGGGTCTTCACCCCACTGTTGCCCCTGTGGCCCCTCACACCTCGGGCGGTGCGAGAGCTTGTTCCCACACAGCCCCATCTCCCACATTCTCCCAAGGGAGGACAGCCTTTCTGGCATCGGGATGTCATTCCTCTTTTCCTTTCTGTAGCAAGATCCTGGTGAGGCCCCTGAGCAGGATGTGGGTTGTCCCATCCCAGCCCTGCACCCCTCATACCTCACTGTGGGGTACGTATGTGCCCCCACGGAGCCCCCAAGGCATGGCACAGCTACGTGCTGACAGTCAGCCAGAGGAGACCACCCCAGCAGAGGGGCACAAGGCTCAGACTGGGCTGCTGTGGTGGCTCAGCCAGCTCAGCCTGGCGCCAGTGATGCTGCCATGTGGAGGGATTTTGTCCCCCCCACAGCAGCCATGGGGTCTGTCCCCTGCACAAGAAGATGCCGGGGCTCACAGGTGTGCAGAGGAGCTGGGGCACACCTGGCAATGGGGAGGACTGGTGCATGTTGGAGCTGCCACAGCAAGTTGTCACCACCAGCAGGTCACCCACGCTGTGAGGGGGACAGGTGGGGTGACCCGGGTGATAACGGGTGCCGGCGATGGGTGCCACTTGCTGGGCTCCCAGCAGGCAGACGCCAGCCCTGGGCACAGGCTTTGGCCTCGTTTTATTCAATCCCGCATTTCCAAAAGTACCTTGAGATGCACACCGGCGCTGCAGTCCAGGGTCCGTGGTGGGGCCGGGTGCTGCCGGCGGCGAGCGGGGCCGGGGGCTGCGTCCCCAGCGTCCTGGCTGGGCTCTAAGTGCGGTGCCGGCGGGGGACGGCGAGGAGCTGGCGGAAGGCGGCGCGGAAGTCCCGGTTGAAGAGGGTGTAGATGAGGGGGTTGAGGCTGCTGTTGCAGTAGCCGATCCAGAAGAAGAAGCTGAAGAGGGGCTTGGAGACACGGCAGCCCTCCCCACAAACCGCCCCCAGGCTGTAGGTGAAGAAGAAGGGGAACCAGCAGAGCACGAAGGCCCCCATCACCACGGCCAGCACGACGGTGAAGCGCCGCTCCCGCGCCCGCACCAGCCGCTGCCGGCACAGCGACACGCTCTGGTGCTGGCTCCGGCGCCGCCAGCCCGGCGTCCCGACCCCTGGCCCCTTCTTGCTGGTGCCGGCGGGGCGGGGGGCGCGGGCGGCGAGGAGGGTCGCCGTCCGCCGGGCGGTCAGGTGGTAGATGCGGCAGTAGACGGTGACCATGACGAGGCAAGGGGCGAAGAAGGAGGCGGCGCAGGAAGCCAGCACGTACCAGGTCTCCTGGCTCAGCTGGCACTCCCGGCCCCCCGGCCGGGCCCGCAGTAGCGGTGGCAGTGCCACCACGGCCGCCGCCACCCAGACTGCCCCGATCATCCCCTTCACCCGGCCAGGGCTGCGGCGCAGGTTCAGCCGGGCCGCCCGGGTGACGGCCCAGTAGCGGTCGAGGCTGATGGCGCAGAGGTGCCCAATGGAAGCCGTGCAAAGCAGCACGTCCAGCGCCAGGTACAGGCTGCACCACAGGCCCCCAAAATACCAGTAGCCCATCACCTCGTTAGCCAGTGAGAAGGGCAGAACGAGGATGGCCACCAGGATATCTGCCGAGGCCAGGGACACCAGGAAGAGGTTCTGCGGGGCCCGCAGAGCCCGGCTGGTGGAGACAGCCACCACCACCAGCGCGTTGCCCACCAGCGTGGCCAGCAGGACGGCCAGGGCGGCCAGCAGGATGAGCCCCGTGGCTGCAGGCGAATGCGGGGCGGTGCCGGCACCGCTGCCGTTACCGGAGGTGTTGGGGAGGGGGCCGGCTGGCTCCATGCTGGCCCGGCCCCTCGGGCAGACGAAGCCCCATGGGGCTGCCCCCCGCCACGCACACCCCGCTCACCGGCCCCGCCGCGTCTCGTGGCGCAGCCCCGGCATCGCTGGGTCCCTGGGGAGGGCTGTCGCTGCTCCCGTACTGACGTGGTCCAGCAGCAAGGTGGAGGTCGTCCCGTCCCGGTGGCCACCCAGCCAGGCACGGGGAGCAGCGGCGGTGCCGGGGGCCCCAGAACGGCTCCCACGGCAGCTCCGCCGGTCCCAGCCCGGGAGGAGGGCGGGCGGGAAGGAGGGAGGGAGGGACGGGCCGATATCGCTGGCAGGAGCCCAAGCATCTGTGGGCAGTGGGAGAAGCAGTTGTTACCACCACTTAAAGGGCTCCTGTCAGGGTCACTGGGGTACCCAGCAGGCTGGGGACACTGCCTGACCATGCCAAGTCAACAACCTGCTGAACCCCAGCCCGGCAGCACCTCAGCACCTCATCAGCTGCCCCGTGCTGTGCCCGGCTGGGAGACACGCTGCCGTGGCGCGGAGCGGTGCAGCAGAGATGCCGCCGGCTCAGCCCTCTGGGGATGGGGCAGGTGGAAGAGAAGATGCTGCCTGCAGCGCATCAGGACAGGCTGGCTGCAAACCACAGGGGCAGGGATTAGCTGTGGCATCATCAGCGTGTGCCCCTCACGGTACCAGCAGCACATTGGGTGTGTCCCCAGCACTGGGCACCTGTACGGGACCGGGCTGTGCAGTGGTGGTGTACGGACACGGGGGTGGGTGGTGGGAGACCTGCGGCTCCAGCTGCAGCTCCGGCAGAGTTTGCAGAGGCAGGAGCTGAAGAGACACACACCCGGGGCGCGGACGCTCAGCATTTATTAGACACCAGCTGAGGGGGGATGGTGGAAACTGGGTGGCCATGGGAGTAGTGGCTCGGGTGTCCGGTGCTGGCTAGAGCCGGGTGGCACCGTGCAGGGGTGGGCGAGGGGAACCCACCAGGACGGTGGGACCGGGCACCTCCTCGGGGTAGGAGAGCACGGGGTTGTCCAGCCCCAGCCTGGACTTGTCTCGGGGAGGGCCGTCGCGCTCCTCCCAGCCCTCGGGGCTGCGGCAGCGGTCGGTGCAGCAGAGGGTGGCCTGAGTGATGAGCCGGTCGAGGGGCTGCAGCGAGTGCATCCAGGCGGGGAGGAAGTCCCAGGTCTGCAGCCATTTGGGCAGGCGGCCGGGGCTGCGCGCCTGCAGCGCGTTCACCAGCCCCACGAAGAAGAGGAGGCCGAGGAAGGGTGCGCCCACCCCCACCAGCGCCCGCCAGCCCGCCATGGAGATGCCAAAGATGAGGGAGGGCAACAGGAGGAAGCAGATGATGAGGTACAGCACGGCAAACCAGCGGTATTTGGCTGTGCGCTCGCCCAGCGCCTTGGCCATGCGGATGGGCAGGCGGGTGAAGGGCAGCGGGTACCACAGCAGGATGCCGGAGATATTGAAGAAGAAATGGCAGAGGGCGATCTGCAAGGTTGTCATCCCTGTCAGGGTGGGCGTGTGGGGCTTCCCCCAGCCCCTGCCTTGCCCGGTGCCCCCCACCAGCCCAGCCCTGGCCCAGGACTGCCTGTACCTGGAAGGAGCTGGCCAGTTTGTCCCCTGGGCTGGCCAGGGCAGCCAGGATGGCGGTGGTGGTGGTGCCGATGTTGGAGCCCAGGGTCAGCGGGTAGGCACGCTCGATGCTGATCACCCCCAGGCCTGTGGGAGAGGCACCCCATCCCGTCCCATTGCTCCTCACTGGCACCGTCCCCATGCTCTCCTAAGGAGGCATGGCTCCTCCAAGCACCCTAGCACTCACAGGCCATCATGGAGGGGACCAGCACATGGCAGGGCACCAGGCATGGCCAGGACTCACCGATCAGGGGTGTGATGGCTGAGGTGAAGACAGAGCTGCTCTGCACCACGAAGGTCATCCCAGCACCCACCACCATGGCGAAGTAGCCAGTGAGCCAGCTGAGTGGGTGTGGGAGGTCTGCCACGGCATGGCCACGGGAACAGGCATGGACAGAAGCACGGACATAGACATCAGCTGGGAGCAGCCTGGTGCTCCCACATGGTGCTGGGGATGGGGGTTGTGGGGCCAGGCTGTGGGTATGGGGCCAGCCTCGTGGCTCGTGGCCATGATGGCTGGGGAAAGAGCTTGTGGACACCAGGAGGCCATGACAACCATAAGCAGAGTTGGGATCAGGGGCAGGCAGAGGGCGTGGGGGTCAGTCAGGCATGGGGGGGTTAGGGGCAGCCAGGGATGGGTCTGAGGATGGCAGGTGGAGATGGAGATGGGTGGCCGTGGGGCAGATAGGGTCCCATCCCACTCACCCCGCGATGGTCCCTGTCCCACTCACCAGTGTTGATGACCTTCTGGATGACTTTGGCCACTTGGCCCTTGAGTAGGGAGTTGAGGAGTTTGACCAGGAGGATGAGGCAGGTGCAGAGCACGACGAGGGACCCGGCCAGCAGCACCAGCCCCACGGCCAGGTCAGGCAGCGGTGTGTCAGTGAAGAGGTGCTCACCTGCCCCACAGCACGGCTGGGCGAGGGGCTGGGGCCGGCCCAGCCCCGCTCACAAACCTGCTCCCCCCCTGACAGCCCCACACCTGCACCCCAGCCCCAATGTCTCCCAGCCCTGCCCCACATCGTGACTTCAGCCCCATGAACCCCCAGCACCTCTCAATCCCACATACAGCCCCCCAGACCCACCTACACCTCACCAGCCCTGTGCCCACCAGCCCTGACGGAGCCCCCCACACCCACTCACACTTCTGCCTGGTGACGTTGTGGAGGTTCTCGATGACCTTAGTGCTGCAGTGGCCCGGGGCCGTGCAGTTCAGGGGGGGCCCAAGCCCCACAGTGGCGGTCTGCAGGTAGAGGGTGGGCTGCAGCTGGCTCCATGGCATCCTTGGCCAGCCCCTGCCCACCACCCACCCTCTGTGGGATTTTTTGGTGGCCCCAGAAGGGCCGTGAGCCCCTCACCTGTGGGTGTGCAGGGCCACACCAGACGCGGATGAGGCTCCGGTTGCGCAGGCTCTCATCCCCCGTTGCAATGCCCGTGATCACTGACTTGTCCAGCTGCAACAGCACACATGTTGGAGAGGTCCCTTGGGGGCTGACAGCACCCACAGCTTGGGGACATCTTCACTGGGATGGGGACACTACTGTCAGCCTGGGGACACTTGGATACAACCGCCATCACAGGGACACCAGTGCTGGGGACATCACCACCAGCACTGGGACAACAATCCTGGGGGACCACCACCAGGATGGGGACACCACTGCCAGCCTAAAGTCACTTGGGCGTAACCACCATCAAAGGGACACCAGTGCTGGGGGCATCACCAGCATGGGGGACACCAATGCTGGGAGACCACCACCAGCCTGGGGACACCACACCTGGATGATGAGCTTGGTGAAGGGCTCTGTGATGATCTTCAGCAGGTCAGGGGCATCCTTGCCGCTGCGGATGTTGAAGGTGGCTACGACCAGGCGGGTGACGTGGTGCAGGTACCCACTCACCACCTCCAGCGGCAGCAGGACCAGTACGGACAGCCAGTTGAAGCAGTCGTGCACCGTGGCTCCAGCAAAAGCCCTGTGTGGAGGAGTCCATCGGCATGGGGTGGCCCCAGGGAAGCAGCCCCAGCCCCCCTGAGTCCCCTCTGCCCTGACCAGCTCTCACCGTTTGAACTCGCTGCGGTCACCAGCCTGCATGAGAGCCACGATAGTGTTGGTGACAGAGGTGCCGATGTTGGAGCCCATGATGATGGGGATGGCAGAGCGCACCTCCAGCACTGGGGACAGAGAGACCTGCTAGCTCCGCATGGCCCAGCTCAGGGTGACCCCATCCAGCCACCCTGTCCCCCAGCCTCAGGTCCCTGGGCACCCTGTGGGCACACTCACGCCCCGAGGAGACCATGCTGACGATGATGGAGGTGGAGGTGGAGGAGCTCTGCACCAGCACGGTCACCAGGATGCCTACCACCAGCCCGGCCACTGGGTTGGAAAGGATGGCGTTGTCCTTGAAGATGTCTCCAGCCACCTTGCCTGCAAGAGAGCGTGAGCGGCAGGGTGCTGGCATGGTGGGTGCCACCAGCCGCCCAGGCGTCCCTGCCACCCTACCTCCGGCCAGCTGGAAGGCAGAGCTGAGCACGTCCAGGGAGCACACGAAGAGGTACAGGAACCCAAACATCAGGGGCACCTTGAGAAGGGAGACACAGATGGACTGGACCCTGGCCCAGCACCCCAGCTCTGCACAAGACAAGAGAGAGTGTTAAATGCCAGCCGCAGCACGGCCCCGGCTTCCCGGGCTCCTGCAGCCCTACGCCATCCTCCAGTGTCCCTGGAGGGACGAGGCTCTTGTCCCCAGACATGTCACCGCTCACTGGGTCCCCACCATCTCCTCCCATCCTGGAGTGCCTTGTTCTGACCACCCTGGTTGCCTCTCGGCTCTCCCCGTGGCACCCCATGGAGATGAGGGTCTCCCCTGCCAGCAGACACCACACTGCGCTGGGGGTCTGGCTGCGGTGCCAGCACGAGGACTGGCACCACGGGATGGTAGGGAGGAATTGCTGCCAGTCCCAGGGACAAAACTGGGGCTCTCCTGGCACTCCACAGTCCTGGTACCCTGAGGCCCCCCCTGGGTGCGTCTGGCAGGTCTCTGGGGTGCTCCCCAACCCGGGTTCTGTGTGCCCACTGCCTGGGGGTCTCACCTGGCTTCTGCAGCTCATCCAAACCCAGCCGGGGTCCCTGCCAGGGCAGCACGTCCAGCTCGTACCGCTCCCTGCCCTCGCCCAGGCGCCCCGGGGAGCCAGGGCAGGGGAAGCCATGGTCAGGGCAAGGCACAGCACTGACGGTGAAGGGGCAGGTGTGGGCACCCGGCAGCCGGTGCAGAGCTGGAGAGAGGGGGCACCCATGTTACAGCCCTGTCCTTGCAGGGACCCCCCTGCAGCAGAGGAGAGCCGGGCACCTCCTGGGCCAGGGTCTGGCCAGAAGCAGAGCTGAGCCCGGTGGGGCAAGGAAGAGGAGGAGAAAAAAGAAGAGGATGAGGAGGGCTGGGGGCACCTACCTTGGGGGCTGGGGCAGTAGGTGAACTGGGGCCCATGCACCACCCTTCCTCCCCGCA